ACATAATTAAAACCAAAACCCGTCTACCTAAGACGGCAAATAAGAAAACTCATAATTACATTTACAAACATCTAAACTACTGTAATCTTCGAGAGAGAGAGAAAATAATCAAAAAGAAAATGGAAAGGCAACTAATCAAAAAGCTAAGTCTACGTAAAATTCACTCCGACACACGTACGTACTCGAAACGCATCACAAAACCCCAAAATAATGTCTACGTGCCTAAAACAAAATGGCGTCGGTACAGGGAGTGATTTATACGAACATCAAGTACAACAATTGAATCGCTTCGTACAATCCTCCTGAAGTATCTATTAGGGACGTGATCCGGTTACCGAACTCTTGCTAACGGTACAAAAGTATTTATGTGTTCGTACCAAACTGAGATTTTTTTCTTTCTTTAATGTTCGCCCCGAGGATTACGTCCATTCGTCTTTTTGGTGTACGAGTTCAGGTTATTCGTGTGTTTGTGATTACCACGGCGACGGCTAAATATGAAACTAGAGATTGTGCCGTTATTCTAGTGGTTGTCTTGTTTTCACTGTCCGTCAGTATTTAACCTACACCGAGTAACATCGATATTCAAAATCAGTCTAACAACTTGCTTTCATTTAGATTAAATACCAGTTAATGTTTACATGAAATGTATCACCATTTTCTTTAAAGAAACAAGAAAATCTCCTCAAATTCCCAATTCCCAAAAGGCCGGCAACGCACTTGTAAGTTGTAACGCCCCTGGTGTTCCAGGTATCTATGGATGACGCCGATTGCTAACCATCAGGTGATCCGTCTGCTCGTTTACCGGCTTATCCCATAAAAAAACAGAAGTGTTGAGCATAGGCACAGTCAATTATTCTGTAATCCGTTCACATTTAGCCAGCAAATAAAAAACGTGAGATTATCATGTTCAAAAATCCGTAGATGCTAAGTCAAAACAGACGAAAGAATAAGTTAAAATTATTATAATTATCAGCAATTAAACTCTCGCAAAGATGAAACTCATTACGTAATGCCATGACCTTTTAAATTGTCGAGTAATAATTATTTAAACAGATAGGCCTGTTACATTTTAATTCAATAAGTTGTCGACAAGGCCTTACAGTATTGGCGTTTATCGCAGTGTCGAGTATCTGTTTGTGAACGCGCCCTAATTTGAACAGCGCACGTGCCCAAGGGTTGCCACTAAAGTTAAGAGGTTTTAATCGGAAAATAATGTTTATATTCTCGTGTTATTTAATATTAAATGTAGTTATATTAACAAAGTTGTTTGCTTTAATGTTTTTAATGTTAAGATAATAAATTAACTAAAATTGCGGGTTACTAACGCTCACAAGTGAGCTGCGCGACGTCGCCGCGACGCGCACGCTGCTCATGAAGAACCCCTCTGTGGTTCGAAACTAATAGAGCTTTTCAGTATATTCACGTGAGTAACCCGCGATTTTAATTAATTTGGTTCTCACGATAGTTGTTAAGATAATAACTTTATTTGCTATGACAACGACTTTAATGCTTTATTTTAAGCTAAGATTATCTCTCTTTCTGATCTGTTAACAATAAAGTTTTCGTTTTTGTTCGTAGGCATTTGTATCCATTGGGTAAATAACGAGCTTGGATGAATGGGTATAAAACAGTAGCAATAAACTTATAACTTTAAATATTCCCGTTCCATGGGCTCTGTCTACCCCCATGGGATACAGGCGTGAGATGATGTATGTATGTATGTATATATTCCGGTATAATTGTAGTTAAAGATTCTTAAACAGATTAGATAATCAACCTATTTAGGCTTAAAATAATAGAACGCTAATTTCAAAACGAAGCACCTTGTATGAACCCCGTATGTCCTCTTCAAACACTCAATCATATTTTCAAATATTCATGCGCAATCCCTCACCTGGCCATGCAATACTTAATCCATCTGCAATGGACAAAGAGTCCTTATATCCGGACAATGGATCGATCCAATAAGCGCGGCCCGCGGCGTTAACACTAAGCCGATTTCCATCTAGTCTGTGCCTAGATCCGATTACATTTTAATCCTGGATCTGTTTCGGCAATCTATATTAATTGTTTGATATGGACATGTAGATATAAGGTGGTACGAGTGTAGCTTCAGGCTCCTTTGACAATTAGTGTAATGAATTTGATGGTTCGTGATCGTAATTAGTTTGTTTGTCCGGTCGCCGGGTAAAAACTAATTACCTACGACTTATCTGAAGACTAAAACATTAATAAATAAAATGTACATATTTATTTTTATATTTTTCCGCAAAAAATATTCAACGAGACGTCAACCAAGATGGCCGTCGGTGCGTTTCCGTTCCGAAATAATTCAACATATATATGTAGTTGATGGATAAGTGCAATTAATTTGGCTGTGTTATAACAATGTTAATTATAAGTTTTTGTATTAAGTGACAACATTATCGCATTGGTTTAAATAAATAAAAAAAATAACTTATGTGCAGTAGAACACGAGAAGAAAACCGACATTAATTCAAGCGTGAATTTTCTTGAGACCGTTAAATCCTTACTTACTTACTCGAAGACAAAATAACGTTGTGTCTAAGGGAGAACATTTCTGTTTGGCAGCCCTAACGTGTCCTTTGAAGGGATTAATCGTAGGGTTCTCAAGCCGCGTTAATTACTAACGTTTACGTCAATCATTAGAGGCAACAGCTCTTTTATTTACATCGTAATACCCATTCAACACTGGTAAATAACTTATCATAGCTAAGAGACTCCTTGGAACCGTGTTACTTTATTCTAGTGTTTAATCAATACCTTTTAATTCAAGGACGATTGTCACAATGCTTTCAATTAAACTTTAACGCTAATTTGTGGGATGTCTTGTAAATAAAGATATTTTTTTTATGTTGGAACAAATTTATAAATGTATTATTCAGTAAAGTGTCGTGGTGGCCCGGAGGTTGAAGACACCTGCTTCTCATGCACGAGGGTGCAGGTTCGAAACTTACCAACGGCAAGTATCAATGTGACTTTTTCCGAGTTAAATGTACTTTCTAAGATTATTTAGACACCACTGACCAACGGTGAAGGAAAACATCGTGAGGAAACCTGGGCTTATAATTTCTAATTATAAGTTTGAAATCGCCAACCCGCATTGAGCAAGCGTGGTGATTATTGCTCTAACCTTCTCCATGTGAGAAGAGGCTTTGCTCAGCAGTGGGCATTTATAAGCTGTTGATGATGATGTTTTACCGCCGTACTCATAATCATTGAATGATCTTATCGATTATAACAATCATATCTTCCCTCTTTAATATTTTATTACCTTAACTTCGTTTTAGTTCATACTTTCTTTTTATAATTTTGCACCTACCGCTTTAACATTCTGCACCACCCAATGGTCGACTGTCAGAAAATGCCTACGGCATTAAGTCCGCCAATTTCATTGTATGTGCAATAAAGTTTAATAAATAAATAAATAAATCTTAACCCTGTCTTTAGTAATTGTTTTCAGAACAAGATACATCTCTGGGTATGGCAGTTAGTGTTTTCGTTTATCTTTATTCGTATCCGTTATGTAAAAGGTACGACAATGCATTGTCGTACGTACTTATTCCTTGAATGAGTTTATTATCCTTAGCCATAATTTAGGTACATTAAAAACGTCAATAAATTAAAGAACTCATTTCAAAACAGTTCAAGTTTAGTAGAAAACAGAAAGTAGCTTAGCTACACACTAATTACACTCCGCTACCAGAGTACCAAAGTTTATTCAATACTCAACATAAAAAAAAATTGGAAAACACGTTTCGAATGAACGTGAATACTAAAACGCAAATCCCCAATTAATTGGTCCTGGAAGCCGATCGGGACTAAATTAAACATTTTCTCTTATTTAAAACCGAAATGAAGTTCATTTGAATTCGTCCCGCCAGTAATTACAGAGTTTACGACGTGCAAAAGCCTCGAATGGGCAGCCATTTTGGTAAAATGGCGGCAAGTGGAGTCCATTGGGAGAATGACGGACACCGCTTGAAATTAAATGGCTTATCTTTGAAGGTGAATAATTAATCAAAGCATTAATTACACTAAGTTTCTTTGATTTTAACGTTTTTTTGTTTAACAGTCAAAATTTTATTTATTGTAAATCGTTTGGGAACTTTACCTTTACCTAGGTGCAATATTTTCAGATTAAGTATTTAATTAAAGTTTTATAAAGTACTAGCTTTTGCCCGCGACTTCGTACGCGCAATCCCGCTATCTCCCATTCCCGTAGGATTTTCAGATTTTTTTCTGTCATAAACCTTCTCCTAATAATAACAAATACATTAAAAAAAAAGAATTAGTGCAATCGGTCCAAACATTCACGCTTGACGCCGTGACAAAGGGAGAAAGGGATTCATTTAGTGTAGTAGTAATAGTGATAAAAACACTTCGTGTATGTTACATAAAAATCATAATTGACTCATTTGCATTAGATTTAGAGTCTATTTTACCATACCTACAGCTCTTATTCTACGTCACAAGTCCCTTACAAAATCCGACAGAGAGTACCTCCAAAGTCTAAATAGGTGAACAAAAAACTAATCGCAACGATTACTGAGTTACAGCGAAGGTGATTGGAAAAATTTTCCTCTTCCAACTTTTTAAATTGGATCCAACTCTCCGTTCGGTCGAGCTCAGAGAAATCCAACTCGAGTGGATAATACGATTCACTCAATACTATTAAATTGCATCTTTGAGAAACGTTTACGTAAGTTATAAAAGGATTCGACTTATTTTACCGACTTATTCTCGAGTACTTAGTAGTCTTTTTTGTAGTACTTACCCCCTTTGGTAGAAGAATCATCATTGTATTATTATAATTTAGAATATATTAGTTCAAAAACTGTTTATTTGAAGTGAATTGAATTTTATAGTTATATTAAGATTTTGACTGACAATGTCGGGATTATACATAACATCTGATCCAAAGAAGCCAGCATAAGATCTCCAAATATTGAAATTTAGTTTAAAAAAAAGTCACTCACCACATCTCTAGGCTGGTCTTCCTCCGTAGTTTCGATGTCGACGCTCTCATCACTATCTCTGTCACTCTTTGGTGAGCGCGCTGGAGACGATGGCGGCGGGGAACGCAGCGGCGATCTAGTGTGTGACGACCTTAATGGCGACGACAGTACTGGCGACCTAAATGTGTTCCATGTTTAAAATTTGTAAAAAAAAATAAGTGTTTTACTCTCGATGTGTCTTGTTTTTTGAAAATGTTGCTCATTTTTTTTATTTTTAGCAACTTCGGTGCCAAATAATGAATAAGGATTGTCTTTCTTTTTTAAAATGCTAAAGTGAAGTTTCATTCGTGTTTTTTGCTTGCAAATTAATCAAAATTTTGAAAAAAAAATTGTCAACTTTAACTAACATCTTGAAATCTTTAATGATATTAGCGTTTCTTATTTTAATTGAAAGTCTACAACTTCCAGCAAAAACTACCTGTTTGGTGACCTTGGTGGAGACATAACAGGGGAGAGTTGTGGCGACTCTAGTCGATGCCCCCTCACTGGACGGAAAGCTCGGGGCTCCTCTATTGAGTTCACACTGCTCAATGCTGTTAGAGCACCTGTGAGGACAATGTTTTGCTAACTAAGAAGAATTGTTAGAAAAATGCAAAACAACTATTTGATATTAATTTCATAATTCCTATTCAAGAATCTTTACTATAACCTCTCTAGTCTACGAGTTGTAATGTCAACGACTGCCATCACTACACCACACAACAACTACAGTTCGCATACACAGCTTAACTAATTTTAGAAAAGCAATGAATTGCTTTTTTATGGGACAAGCCCGCCACAACCTCCCAAAACCGCTACAACTCCTGTAAACCAGGATCTACAGTAGATACAACCATGAAAACACCGGAACACTGAAGTCCGGCGCGTCCCAGGGACATGAGTAACTGTCTTGGTTCCCGCAACGAAGTGAATCAGAGGATATTATAAGAGGAGAAGAAAAATTGCTTATCATTTTGCACATGAAATACTTACCAGGAGTCCATAAAGTTGGTTTGAGCCAAGGTATGGCGTACGGCAGTGGTAATCTAGCCCCCCAGACATAGTCGGCCAGACGAGGGACAGGTGCGTGCGCACTGGGAGGACTGGCCGCCGGTCTCTTGGCCTCACTGCTGCCCTCTGACTCAGGCCTGCGGAAAGGCACTCTTCTGAAGCACAATTTAAGGCTGAACTATTTTAATCAATTTTTGTGTCGAAAGTTACTTAAATATAATATTAAAATCAGTGCACAGGTTCTTATCGATGTAGGTACTCATTACTTATTTATTTCCTTTTATTAAGAGGAATATTTCTTGCAAGTCGCAGTCACAAAAGTTCGAAATATTTTCTATGAATAGTATGAATATTATACTTTTTGTCATAAATTAATTAAAAAGTAGTTCATTGATGAAATGATTATAATAGTGTATACTGTAATCAATTTATTATTGACAGAAGAAACAAACCTTATATTATAAATTATACATACACACACTCAACAAATCTGTTAAAAAGTTGAATTAAGAAAAATATATTGATCTCGCTCTTACCTAGCAGCCGACAGCATCCTTTTTCTCGTTCCCCCGTTGAACATAGCCTTTACATCTTCCCAAGCATGAACCACTTCTTCGGGAGGTGTACCACTGAGCTTCATGTGCCGTCTCCAAGAGTTGAAGTTGGCTGCATCAGGCTGTATGTACTTGTCACCGGGTCCAACTCGGTGGGAATGAAATATGAACTTGTTTGGTGAGAAGAAGAGACCACAGTATGCACATTTGATGCATTTCGCTCGAGAAGAATTGTACCTAAGACACAAAATATTTTTATACTTTACACATTGTCCACGAAAGGTAGCTTGATATTTGAAAAAAAAAACATGAAAATGCTAGAATACTTGGTGGCGCTACTGTCGAATTCGTTTATTATCTGAAAACGAAAGTATAAACGAAGTGACTTTGCAAAATAACTGTGATGTGTGTTGCACAGCAGATGGACATTAAACAACAAAAACAAGCAAAAGATCAGAACTAAAAAGCAAAAAATAACTATTATTAGTCATACGTACTAGTCGGTGCCACAAGTTTTAAACAAAAGTTATTCTTTAAACCCGTAACAAATACCTTATATTACTTAAGCTGTGTACAATTTTATGACAGATTATAACCATGACCATTAACCTAAGTTATATTTTGTTATGGGCTTGTAGCACCGACTTCTAACCTATCATTGGTTGGTAACCTATAAGTATCATCTCTGATTAATAGTTGATATTGTTATAGTTTACCTGGCCGGTAAGAATGCGCCGCGGCATCCCCAAGCACATTCATGATGGACAGCGAATGCGAAATCGTCCGGTAGTCTAGGAGGAGCATTGTCTCCAAGAAATGATTTACAAAGTCGCTCTGCTTCCCTCCTCGTTATCATACCTGAGATAAAATATTTCATAAATCTTTTTTGTCAATTCAAATATTCCAACTATCTAAAGGCAACTTTGAGGGTTGGATAGACACGACAAGAACTAGAAAAATGTGCTTTCAAAATGTCGATTCCAAACTTATAATTTGAAATTAGTTCGGTTTTTTTTGACTGCCTCGTTGGCCGAGTGGTCGCAAGTGCGACTGCCGGGCAAAGGGTCTCGGGTTCGATTCCCGGGACGGGCAAAGTATTACTGGGTTTTTAAAAATCTCAGTGGTAGCACGGAGTCTGGAAATGTGCCCGGTATATGGCAATAGGCTCACCCCCTATTACATGGGACTCATAACATAAATAGTGAAAAGTGGGTGTTACATTGTACAGTGGCATTAAGTGCCGAAGTGTGCACCTCTGCCTACCCCTTCGGGGATAAAAAGGCGTGATGTTATGTTAGTTTGGATTTTCTTACGACGTTTTCCTTTACCGTATGTCAGTGGAGTGTAAATAATTTTAGCAAGGTAGATTTAATAAAAAATGTAGTAAGAAAAATCCGTTCGCACTTTTTGCTAAATGGTAATCACCAGTTCAATGCAACTGATTTTCAACAACACACAGAATATTTGGTTGGTCAAACGAAATACAAACTTACCACATCGTCGAGAAGACACGGGCATGGCACCAGCTCTTCTCAGAATCTCCAGCTGTACAGGAGTACATTGTACACAAGTGATGCCCAGAGCTACTCGCCGGTTGTGTATCTCATTGTACGAGAACTGCTTCAGTAATGTGTTCGATATCTGAGCCAGACAAAGCCGCTCATTCCCTTCTATCACCAGGGAAACTATTGGTACCCCGTACAGAAGTACCGTGCCGACCTACAAGAGATTTTCATTATAGAAATTTTTTTGGCTAAATTCCATTAGTTGTAGTTGCGAATTCTATTGTAGGAGTCTTCATTTGAGGGAAACAAATATTGTTTTTATTTATTATGAGGGATTGTAAACTGATCACTTAGCTTTTAGCGCTGATGATGATTGAAAAGAACTCATAGACTCATTTATTTACGGATTTATTAATTTATCTGACTGCCTCGTTGACAGAGTGGTCGTAAGTGCGAGTGCCGGGCAAGAGGTCTCGGGTTCGATTCCCAGGTCGGGCAAAGTATTACTGGGTTTTTAAATATTCTCAGTAGTAGCACGGAGTCTGGAATTGTGCCCGGTATATGGCAATAGGCTCACCCCCTATTACATGGGACTCATAACATAAAAAGTGAAAATTAGACGTTAAATTGTACAATGGCATAATGTACACCTCTGCCTACCCCTTCGGGGATAAAAGGCCTGATGTTATGTTTATGTTATTAATATATCTTAAGATGTTATAAGAACCGCGACGGTAAAGTTTATTTAATTATCTTGTATGAAAACTAAATCAGTTAATCCTTAAATCTGTCTTAAACTGTCAAACACCGCGAGGACACCGGTGACCGCAACCTATTGTTCTTTAATTGTGTCTATAATGACGGTACTCAAAGGGTTAAGACTAATATAATTAACAGTTACCTGATTAGGTTTGCCACTTAATTGCAAAGCTTTGTGTTCGGATCTTGGTTTGAGAGTGTCCCGCGGCGAGAGTGCTAAGTTCGTAGCTTCCATACTGTAACAAACAATGACCTCTTTATTAATAATCCTTCCTAAGGCTACAAGGAAGAGATTAGGTACTACTTGAGACAATGACATGAAATAAAGTTTAAAAACGTAGAACATGTTGTAGATATATTTTTTTGCAAGATACCTGAAGATATGTTTGAAAATTCCGAGTTACTTACGTAAATATACTGATATATATAGATACTGTAAATAGTTTCGAGTATGTATTACTATTTACGTGAGTAACTCGTAATTTTTATTTAATTCAGCATGTCTCATGATAGTTATTATAAATAATGTTATTAATGTTATTAAGATGATTCTTATTAAGGTTATCATTATCATGGCTCGCTTAATGGTATAGTATCATCGTAGCTTAAGTACACCTTCAGCACAAGAGTCATCAATAATAGACATAATTGTTCAATATAAATACAAATGTGATTTTCATTTCACGTAGTTAGCGCTTAAATAAACTAATCAGGACATATCGTAATGGTGTACCCGTTACGTTCAATATTAAACACAATTTACAAATAACATACATTTCCCATTCTATAAATACAATTCCCGAACATTTTTGGGTCATCAAACACAATAATATCCCTAAAATCACGTCGAAATGTCATTATGTCCCATTAATATAACAAATAACCAATAAAATGACTTCATTTACTTTTGCCGCACAATAAAACTGCACAGTGCGATATATTCGAATAAATTTGGGACAAAAGTGATCGTTTTGTATACAAATAGGCAGTTTGCGTGTGAATTTAGTGTATCGAATATCAATTGGCTGTATTGAGGGGTGCGATAATGTGGTACCGCCCCTTTCTGATACCCTCATTTCAATATTTTTGTTTTTACGCATATTTTTTTCGCATTCGGCTATTTTTTTATTACTCTCATGTGTAGGTGTTATGTATTAGAAAAAAACTGATGGCATGTCGTTTTGTAAAATTAGCCTTTAATTACTAAAATGATTAAATGAAATCTACATAAGTCACTAAAAATACAATGTTCAACAAAAAAAATCATACCATAACCGGAAAAAATTACAATTAAAGCTACACACAGACTATCACTCATAGACACCAAGTGCAATAAAGTACACTATAACAAAAACATGATCTAGCAAGAAAATTAAAAAAAATACATACAAAGTTGACCTACATAAAGTCTACCCTTTGAAACATAACAACTGTATCAAAACATGTCACCGCTTTTAAAATGATAAATATGACCACTTAAAACTTGTCTAAAGTCGGGAATCAAAGTAGGGTTGTCAAGTGACATACCGGCGGGATCATTATAGGGTGTGATTAGTCAATTTTGTGTCACCCCTGCACAGTGGGCCGTTGCATGGGCCAAGCCGCCAAAATAATTGATTAAGCTAAACGAAGTAGCGTTAATTTAATGATCGCATATGTTCCTTTTGTTGGGATGCTTCATTTTTATTGTTTCTGTGGTGATTTTGTGAATTGATTATTGATAAGATTACATTATGTTTTGGTCTATTACTTATAATAATGAACTTACTGATTTAAAGCCTTAATGTTTTATACTAAAGAACCTAAAATTGTTCTATTTTTGAGCAGAAATTACCAGAAATGGAAGAAACACCAGATTAATACGACTAGGCAAATGTAGACAATGTTTACGTTTTTGTTTAATTTCGTATTTACTTGAGTTTGTCATACAAAATGAAAAACAAAAAAGAAAAAAAAATATAATAAAATACCTATAAATTAAACAAAAACGACACTAAAAAATATAATCCTTTGACGCACATCTTGGTTATACCAGATTACAAAATATTATGTATTTATTAATCATTTTTTACATTTCACGGTTCAACTGTTTACAATAAACTTGATTCGCGGACAATGCTTTTATAAAATACACTTGTAATTATACATCCCTTATGGGGGCCATATGGTGTTGATATCGGTGATATACGAGGGCCATCCCCGGGGATGCATGGGGATGATCACATGTGTGCACTTGTAACGGAACTAATCGTTTTTGGAAGAAATCTGTTCTTTCGGTATGGTTGTCGGTATTAGTGTAATGCTTTCACGGTTCGCCAATGTGTTACGAACATTTGATTTGATTAGATTGAAACTTTCATTGCAGTTACTCTTTAAGAATAGATTTCACAAAAGTATTTTAATTAAATAATTAAAATAACAAAAAGTTCTTAAAAATAAGGTGGGTAAAGCAAACTTGGTTTTTTTATGGAGTAGGAGGTAAAAGAACAGACGGATCATCTGATGGTAAGCGATCAGCGTCGCCCATGGACATCCACAACACCAGAGGAGTCACAGGTGCGTTGCCGGCCTTTAAAAATGCGTTTGTCGGCCATTTGGTGAAAGGGGATTTGTTATTAAATCGACATTAATTACTACCTCATGTCTAACCATTTTTCATACCAGACATCCTTGAACAACGTCTCCTCCAATGTAAATCCCTAGAAACTCAAACGTACAACCCTAAATAAAAACTGGAGTATTTGAAGATAAATCCAATACGTTCACTATAGAGGTATTTTGAAAGCTCCTAACAAATAGTAACACTCAACTGCCGATCATCGGGTGTCCAAATAAATTGGTAACACACAAATCCCGGACAATACCCGCTTGTGCCACAACGACCGCCACATTGACAACATGTTGTGCACTTTCTCGGATAATCCGTAACTAAAGGGGACTCTATGTCAAGTGCAGGGGACTGTAGGGTGACCCTGAACATATCCATTGTACCCAGACTTGAAGATCGATACAAAATTTAATAAATAATTAATAAAAAATTTAAATTAATTCCATTAGTACTTCTGGAGTATGTCATTAGTGTTGAAAATATTTTATGTTATACATAGATTCTAAATTATATTAGTACATACAAAATAAAGCACTAAATTATTACCTAGATACGACCTAGAAGGTAATCAAATTGAAACTGAAGTAAATAATTTGGTTGGAATATTCCAAACAGATTGTCTATTTCATTAAAAAGACATCTGTAGGTACTAGCTCTGACCGAAACTGATTGGATTTTCATCAACGTATTAATTTTTACATTTGTATTATTTTTAATCTCACTAATATTAGAAATGTGTGTTAGTTTGCATGTAGGTGTGTTTGTTACTCATTTACGTTAAAACCGCTGAAGACATCGGGATGCAATTTGGAACGGAGATAGAACACAAAGCTCACTTTTTGTGGAAGCCACTAGCAGAAGCTACTAATGAACCAAACCAACAAATATGTAATTAATGTTTTAATATCCTAATATTTTCTAGTCACCCTACACTGCCCTACAGAAACCCGGACGATAGCTTAAAGTAGTTCCTTTGAGATTGGATTTTGTATAGAAAAATACTGTTTAATCTTTGTAAAGACAGCCGTTGCTTGTCCGCCATTGTTACGGGTCCAGGTTCGTTACCCAGGCGAGGTTGGCGAGGGGCGCGATTTTTTATGACACGTGACGAAACGTACCGTTTTGTTAAAGTCAAAATAATATTATGTCATGGCTCTTTGATGTAGATTTGAGTTGAAGTGTCTTTGAGATTAGATAATGTATACATTTACATTATTATTTTATTTGTTACCGTAAAAAAAAGAAATTTAAGTATACATATTTTATTTATGACTAACGAAGTTATACTCAACAGCTATAAATATAACTAAACACAAACTCAAAAAAAAAAAATTAAAACAACCCTGTGTATGGACACATAATCACTAAACAACATAAAACAACATTATCACAACGCAAATTAATAGTTATTTACATGTAATTACGTTACAAAATCGCGAGACGACCTCTCAAACTCAATACATAATACATTTTCAGACAATAGACAGAACATAGTTTAAACAATTCGCTTCAGATTCAAAAGGTTCTGTACAAAATTAATTCGGCTTCGTTATTTACTTTGTTACTTTGTTCGCTTAATTGAGTCGACTGACAAGAACACGGAGTTAATTCGTCGATTCATATTTAATCAGCGCTTTGAACTGTAGCCTCCGAGGCACGCCTTTGTATCTCCATGATGGATGTTCCAACGTTTGCTTAGAATTTAGATGGTTCCAACATTTTTATTAAATACTTTGTAAAACATTTGGTCAATTGTGTAATTTATGCAATAGACATTTTTTTGGAAAATCCGTAGGTAATTCGGTGTCACTTTTTGGTTGATAGTTTCTTTCAATTTCGTATCATTCATTACAAATTTTTCGTTTCAGTGGAAAGATCAGTCAAATAAATCTTGTAATATACCTGAATATTGTTAAATTAACTATGAGTGAGTTGTACACCGCTACAGATGTATATAAGGTTCTAAACTGCGCGCGTTTATTCCATCTCCCAAACGTTTGCACAATGTAGACTGTTGACACACCGGTCGCGCTCCTCTGCGCAAATTTTTCGCACAATTGAATTCGTAACTAATCCGCCATCCATTGTTAATTTGCTGAATTAATTTGTTGAAATTTAAACAGTCGTTTAATTGAAATATTTAATTTTAAATACCTACTGTTTTCTTGTTAGTAAGCACTTATTGGACAAGATAGGTTAATATTATGAATCAAGATTCCATCGTCTAGTTTTTGTAATGTACCTATATCTACTATATTAAAATAAGTCGGGTTTTCCTTCCTGACGTTATAACTCCAGAACGCACGAACCGATTTCCACGGTTTTGCATTCGTTGGAAATGTCTCGGGCTCCGTGAGGTTTATAGCAAAGAAAATTCACTTTTAATCACCAAACGAAATGTTACATAAAACGAAGCCATCTGGTGGCGAAACGGAGTTCGCCGAGTTTGCTAGTTATGAATAAAACTATAATAACAACTCAAGAATATACAAAATAAATTCAAAACAATACCAATTAGATAACATCAAGGAGAAAGAATAAGGCTTTTGGGTCCCAAGCTGTTTATTAGTGAACAAGTAGATGCAGTAATATAACACGGGAAAGCATAACCATAAAAGTAAAATTAA